TTTAATTTGTTTTAGAATTAACGAGGAAACCTTTTATGAATACACTTTTACTTTTATACCTATACACTATGGCCCAAAAATCTGTTAACCTAAATATATTGTAATTATTTATTTACGTAAGGTCTTAAAATACATTTCGGTTGACTGACTTTTGGGTCACCCTATACTTAATGCGAAACAGTTGTTAAAATTTTATAATGTTAATAATTATCCATTGTCATTAGCCATTGTTCAATTAAACAGGTACTGTACAATTAAGTATTAATTGTCGATAAAATAAAAATATAATAGTCCTATATCAAAATTAACTTTTTGGATTAAAAAATAATGTAATTGGGCTTCAATTCGAAAAAATTGTACACCGATAAATTCGTTCGTTCGTCCGTCCGTCCGTCTGTCTGTCCTTCCTTAATCTCCAGAACAGAATCAGACACAGGAAAATCAAGACCGGATGTAGAAACCTTAGGGGGAGTTTGTCTCGATTAACTATATATAAAGTTTCGGTCTAGATCGAAAAACACGTGAATTCAATTCAAATATTTTCTTGCGTAATACGTTTTATTACGTCATAATACAGTTTTCTTTCTGTAAATAACAGGAAAATAGATCCATATATCGATATTTGGAAAACACTAGTGGAAAAAGACAGTTCTGTCCATAAGAAACTCACACATGAATGCACTCTTAGACATTTGAAAAGCCTAAAAAACGAAGAAAATGACATTTGGAGTAATATTATCCCACCAATAACGTTCTGTAGATTATACAGATGTACTTTATAAAAAAGAAAGGAAGAACACTAGACATCAAGTGAATTTATGGCTACAACTTATCAAAATTTATATGTAATTTAAGCGAAGACTCCAACTGATTTTCTTTAAAAATTAGAAAAAAAAACTAAGATTTTAAATACGATAAATGGAGACGAATAACCTCAGTTTTACAAGTTAACAAACGATTAAATTACTCTATAGTAACGTTAAATACAGTAAAGAATTTGAATTTTAATATACTATGTATACAATTTACATAGAATTATGTACATAGAAACCGTTCTTTATACCAAAATTATATGTAAAGAGAAGCAAAACGATGCATAAACAGTGTATATTTCAATACAAATAGAATTGTATAAGAATTCATTATACAAGAAGCTTACAGAAAACGTGTAATTCCTATATAGATTCTCTGTATAGGGGGGAAAGTTGAGCATTGACACTCAGACAGACAGACGGACGGTGAGAATATATAAGTCTACTTATTATTATTTTTTTATATTGTATATTTTGCTTGTAATGTTTCCCATTTGTTTAAAGTTTTAATCCTATAAAAAAGGATTAAATTTGAATGGCTTCACTAAAATGTTAATACAAATTCAACGATTTAACTTCGTTCGAGCAAGAAATTTTATTATTTTGTATGAATTTCGAAGTGAAACGTTCCTGAAAGAATGACCTTAATTTAGAGGTTGATTGTATTTATTTAAAATAATTTAAGTATGGTTAATTATGTGGTATATTTATAGATATAACCTATATTACACAGTACATTAAACATATGAAACATTGTAAGATACATTTACACATATCGTACATTGTAAGCTGTATTTACGTGTAAGACCTATTATAATATGTATTCATTACGTGTATACATGTAAATTATAATATAAAATATATTTATACGCCTTTAATTATAACAGAACTGAATATATGTCTTATAAATACAGGTAACACTTAAAAGAATGGTAACACTTACATGGAGAAGGTATAGCAGGATGGTAGAACTGTACTTTCTTGAGAATTCTATGACTTTTTGTACACGATGGAAGACGATCTGCCATTACAAGTCCGGCTTAACGGGTACTAATTTAATCCCTATTAACTCTAAAATCCATTGACCGATCTGCCTGAAATTTTTCACATTTACTCTTTAGGATCCCGCAGAAAATATAGAATTTATAAAACCTCAATACCCCCGCCCAATATCCTGATTTCAACTCTCCTTTACTAACACCTCAACTTTTGTGACGTTCGATAATCATAACCTTATTAGTATACATTAGCTTCATTCATCACGTAAAGATCCATCATCTATTGTGATTAATAATGGAAAAATACCGTAAGTCGCATGGTTTAGAAGACTAAATTGTGTTGACGGGTAAACGAGAAAAGTGTATTGACTTTCAACACAACAAATTTCCTGTCTCCTAGGTTTTTGTAACCATGTGATGTCCTCTGCGTGTGTGCAATAAATAAAACTCGAGATTAAGGCCCTGAAGATATTAGAAATTAGCAAAAAATATATCAAGAAATTGTTCAGAAATAGTTTATGTTCTCTGTGGGACAATTTTTAACGTCCTTGCCTTTAAATTCCTATTCATAGGCAACACCTTTTAACAATTTAAGCTCCACTCTATCAATTATTTACGCGTGCAAAGCGGTGTGTGTAGTACTTTCAAACATCCTAAACATCTTAATTTGTTTTTAATTACAGAACCACAAGACTGCCCGACGAGAAGAAGAAAGAGGATAGAAATTAACCGGCAACATCCAAAAACTGGTGCTTTTGTACCGGAATGTACCGATAATGGATTATACTTACAGACCCAATGCCATAAGAAAAAGACAAATGTGGTCTGTTGGTGCGTTAATCCAAGAACTGGTGAACCAATTCCTTCCATACCTGCAATGAAAGAGAGATCCGATTGTGAATCTGTTCGAAAGAATGTAAGATCATTTAAAGGTAAAGGTAAATTAAAATTTTTTATCAATCCTCATTGCTGTGCCTTATACGTCATTTGAAGAATGAATGACCAAAGACGAGAAAACTTCATCAGATTTTCTGTATAATTAACTTATCTTTGCTTGTTTTTTTTTAATTATTTCATAAGACACGTTTATTATTTTCATTCTGATTGAAATTTCGTTAATTACACGCGCGATCTCCGGTACAATGGAGCTAAGAACGTAATGCTTTTTCTATGGGAAGATACTTTTCCAAATTACTCGAAAACGGAAGTAGGTAGTAACAAACGGTTTTTTGCATTAGAACCGTATTTAATTCTACTATTAACGTACGGTTCGGAATTTCGAAAATCAAATTGGTTAATTTTCTACAAATTTTCTAAGATTTAAAAAAATCGTAGAAAATTAACGAATTTGATTTTCGAAATTCCGAACCGTACGTTAATAGTAGAATTAAATACGGTTCTAATACATAAAACCGTTTGTTTCTACCTACTTCCGTTTTCGAGAATTTCCGGAAAACGTTTCCTCCCCATAGAAAATGCATTACGTTCTTAGCGCCATCTACCGGAGATCGCGTGCGTAACCAGAAGTTACAATCAACCTTAAATATAAGGAATATAAGTAATAAATGCCATAAATTATTCTACTTACATCTTCACGGGAACATTTTATATTATAATTTATTTTCAGGGTTAATTTCAATTACTGAATATTTGAATGATGATTCTATAGTAAATGTTCTATATATATATAGTAACTGTATTGTTTATTCTACGTTAAACCTGTTTTTATATTGTTAATGTATGCTTAATATTACTGGCGTGTTACGAATTTGAAATAAAGAGTCCCATATACAGTATTGACTTCATACATTTTTTTCTTCAGTGGAAATATTTTCTTATAAAAGATTGGGGGGAGGGCCCTTTTTGATGAGGCCCCAAACCAAGTGNAGACTTAAAACCAAAGGTTAAAACCAAGGATAAAAACCAAGACTTAAAACCAAAGGTTAAAACCAAGGATAAAAACCAAGACTTAAAACCAAAGGTTAAAACCAAGGATAAAAACCAAGACTTAAAACCAAAGGTTAAAACCAAGGATAAAAACCAAGACTTAAAACCAAAGGTTAAAACCAAGGATAAAAACCAAGACTTAAAACCAAAGGTTAAAACCAAGGATAAAAACCAAGACTTAAAACCAAAGGTTAAAACCAAGGATAAAAACCAAGACTTAAAACCAAAGGTTAAAACCAAGGATAAAAACCAAGACTTAAAACCAAAGGTTAAAACCAAGGATAAAAACCAAGACTTAAAACCAAAGGTTAAAACCAAGGATAAAAACCAAGACTTAAAACCAAAGGTTAAAACCAAGGATAAAAACCAAGACTTAAAACCAAAGGTTAAAACCAAGGATAAAAACCAAGACTTAAAACCAAAGGTTAAAACCAAGGATAAAAACCAAGACTTAAAACCAAAGGTTAAAACCAAGGATAAAAACCAAGACTTAAAACCAAAGGTTAAAACCAAGGATAAAAACCAAGACTTAAAACCAAAGGTTAAAACCAAGGATAAAAACCAAGACTTAAAACCAAAGGTTAAAACCAAGGATAAAAACCAAGACTTAAAACCAAAGGTTAAAACCAAGGATAAAAACCAAGACTTAAAACCAAAGGTTAAAACCAAGGATAAAAACCAAGACTTAAAACCAAAGGTTAAAACCAAGGATAAAAACCAAGACTTAAAACCAAAGGTTAAAACCAAGGATAAAAACCAAGACTTAAAACCAAAGGTTAAAACCAAGGATAAAAACCAAGACTTAAAACCAAAGGTTAAAACCAAGGATAAAAACCAAGACTTAAAACCAAAGGTTAAAACCAAGGATAAAAACCAAGACTTAAAACCAAAGGTTAAAACCAAGGATAAAAACCAAGACTTAAAACCAAAGGTTAAAACCAAGGATAAAAACCAAGACTTAAAACCAAAGGTTAAAACCAAGGATAAAAACCAAGACTTAAAACCAAAGGTTAAAACCAAGGATAAAAACCAAGACTTAAAACCAAAGGTTAAAACCAAGGATAAAAACCAAGACTTAAAACCAAAGGTTAAAACCAAGGATAAAAACCAAGACTTAAAACCAAAGGTTAAAACCAAGGATAAAAACCAAGACTTAAAACCAAAGGTTAAAACCAAGGATAAAAACCAAGACTTAAAACCAAAGGTTAAAACCAAGGATAAAAACCAAGACTTAAAACCAAAGGTTAAAACCAAGGATAAAAACCAAGACTTAAAACCAAAGGTTAAAACCAAGGATAAAAACCAAGACTTAAAACCAAAGGTTAAAACCAAGGATAAAAACCAAGACTTAAAACCAAAGGTTAAAACCAAGGATAAAAACCAAGACTTAAAACCAAAGGTTAAAACCAAGGATAAAAACCAAGACTTAAAACCAAAGGTTAAAACCAAGGATAAAAACCAAGACTTAAAACCAAAGGTTAAAACCAAGGATAAAAACCAAGACTTAAAACCAAAGGTTAAAACCAAGGATAAAAACCAAGACTTAAAACCAAAGGTTAAAACCAAGGATAAAAACCAAGACTTAAAACCAAAGGTTAAAACCAAGGATAAAAACCAAGACTTAAAACCAAAGGTTAAAACCAAGGATAAAAACCAAGACTTAAAACCAAAGGTTAAAACCAAGGATAAAAACCAAGACTTAAAACCAAAGGTTAAAACCAAGGATAAAAACCAAGACTTAAAACCAAAGGTTAAAACCAAGGATAAAAACCAAGACTTAAAACCAAAGGTTAAAACCAAGGATAAAAACCAAGACTTAAAACCAAAGGTTAAAACCAAGGATAAAAACCAAGACTTAAAACCAAAGGTTAAAACCAAGGATAAAAACCAAGACTTAAAACCAAAGGTTAAAACCAAGGATAAAAACCAAGACTTAAAACCAAAGGTTAAAACCAAGGATAAAAACCAAGACTTAAAACCAAAGGTTAAAACCAAGGATAAAAACCAAGACTTAAAACCAAAGGTTAAAACCAAGGATAAAAACCAAGACTTAAAACCAAAGGTTAAAACCAAGGATAAAAACCAAGACTTAAAACCAAAGGTTAAAACCAAGGATAAAAACCAAGACTTAAAACCAAAGGTTAAAACCAAGGATAAAAACCAAGACTTAAAACCAAAGGTTAAAACCAAGGATAAAAACCAAGACTTAAAACCAAAGGTTAAAACCAAGGATAAAAACCAAGACTTAAAACCAAAGGTTAAAACCAAGGATAAAAACCAAGACTTAAAACCAAAGGTTAAAACCAAGGATAAAAACCAAGACTTAAAACCAAAGGTTAAAACCAAGGATAAAAACCAAGACTTAAAACCAAAGGTTAAAACCAAGGATAAAAACCAAGACTTAAAACCAAAGGTTAAAACCAAGGATAAAAACCAAGACTTAAAACCAAAGGTTAAAACCAAGGATAAAAACCAAGACTTAAAACCAAAGGTTAAAACCAAGGATAAAAACCAAGACTTAAAACCAAAGGTTAAAACCAAGGATAAAAACCAAGACTTAAAACCAAAGGTTAAAACCAAGGATAAAAACCAAGACTTAAAACCAAAGGTTAAAACCAAGGATAAAAACCAAGACTTAAAACCAAAGGTTAAAACCAAGGATAAAAACCAAGACTTAAAACCAAAGGTTAAAACCAAGGATAAAAACCAAGACTTAAAACCAAAGGTTAAAACCAAGGATAAAAACCAAGACTTAAAACCAAAGGTTAAAACCAAGGATAAAAACCAAGACTTAAAACCAAAGGTTAAAACCAAGGATAAAAACCAAGACTTAAAACCAAAGGTTAAAACCAAGGATAAAAACCAAGACTTAAAACCAAAGGTTAAAACCAAGGATAAAAACCAAGACTTAAAACCAAAGGTTAAAACCAAGGATAAAAACCAAGACTTAAAACCAAAGGTTAAAACCAAGGATAAAAACCAAGACTTAAAACCAAAGGTTAAAACCAAGGATAAAAACCAAGACTTAAAACCAAAGGTTAAAACCAAGGATAAAAACCAAGACTTAAAACCAAAGGTTAAAACCAAGGATAAAAACCAAGACTTAAAACCAAAGGTTAAAACCAAGGATAAAAACCAAGACTTAAAACCAAAGGTTAAAACCAAGGATAAAAACCAAGACTTAAAACCAAAGGTTAAAACCAAGGATAAAAACCAAGACTTAAAACCAAAGGTTAAAACCAAGACTTAAAACCAAAGATAAAAACCAAGACTTAAAACCAAAGATAAAAACCAAGACTTAAAACCAAAGGTTAAAACCAAGACTTAAAATCCAAAGGTAAAAAAAAAATTAAGGTTAATTGTGGATAAAAATTAAGGCTTAAAACCAAGGATAATTAATAATTATAGCATAAAAACCAAGGATAAAAATAAAAGCAAGGTTAAAAATTAAGACTTATCAATCAAATGTTAAAACCAAGCCTTAAAACTGCAGATTTTTACCCTTAAACTTGTTGAGAAGCATAAAAACAGAGGTTAAAAAAATCAAAGAATATTTATAATTAAAAAAAAACTTTACATAATAATTTATGCGATAAAAAAATTCAATTAATTATTTTAAGCTTTAAAACTACGAGGAATAAATAAATTTTTAACACAAAAAAAAAAAAAAAAAAACAATATTTTTAAACTTTCTTAACTCATCAATTGTTTACGTTTTATAAGATTTAATGACGTAAACGTCGGAAGTTAAGTTTATTATTTAATTAATATGATTGGCTTACCTTTAATTACTTAAGTTTAATGGAAGGATAGGAGAAATAATACATTCTCAATCATAGCTTGCACTAAATAAGTGCGAACGGGAGGTGCTCCACGGTTGTAGATCAATCAAACAAACTGGGCATGCGCTTCTCTTCATTTCTCTTCCCTCCTCATCCACCGATTAACTGTCAAGATGAACTGTCATCTTCTATGACCTTGAAGTGAGAAAGTACTTTTACAAAATTACAATTTTCCTGCTGCAAGTTTCTATATATATATATATAGGCCTATATATTGTAAATATATTGAAGTATCATTTTGTAAGTTTTTTTTTGTGTTTGTTTTTCAGGTAATAACACTTCTCCTAGGTTATAAATGTATGTAATTTTCAACTCCACTTAGAAAGATCGCTTGAGAAACGTCACACTTGAACATTTCTCTCGTGTATTATCATTTCTTTTCTTATGTATGGACAGGCCTGTGTGTAGGATTTTAAAATGGGTGACGTTTTTAAAAAGTACACATAAATCAGTAAACTTTGACAATAGTTTACAATTTATAACTGCATCGGATCGATAAAATAAGGCAAAACAACACATGGGAAATATGCCAAGGGGGCATTCATTCCTTAAGGGAGACTTTGTATAGCAAATTCACCCTTATTTAGGTGTTAGATACGTAAAGAAAATCCGAAAAATTCCTCGTTGGTCAGGCCACGATCAATTACCAATGTTCAGTGGTGTTATCTTGCAATTTACGTTCGTTATAGATTTTCCTGAAGGTTTTTCGATGTTTTAAAGGAGAAAACCGATGCTTTTGCACTTTAAAGTAGGGGAAGGATATAGAAAAGTTTAAAGTTATTAGCATTTTTATCTATTAAATCTTATTTTTACTTACTTTTTTATTAAAATATTTACTTCTTTTGTTAAAATATTTACTAACATTTATAAAAATATACAAAAAATACTTACTATTATTCAATATTAATGTCGAAAATGTGTTGTGTAATCCTGAAAATAAAACATTAATAAGTATAACAAATATAAAAACTATTTAAAAGTTTCTTATATATAAATAAAGAATTTAGTAAATAAATAACAAAAAAAAATTAAGTAAATTCCTACAAGAAAATTAAATAAAAATTACATCAAACATATTCGGTCCTTCATTAAATATAAAAGATAAATCGCTTTAAAAAAATTTTTTTTTTATCAAAGATACCGACAACTAAACTAATTGGTTGAAGATATAAAAGTAGGAGGAACTTGCGACAATCATTGCCTTTCTTTCAATTAAGTTTTATTTTAATGTTTTTTACTTTAGTAATACTTTTAATTTAATAAAAATTAATTGAAGAAATAGAAAAATCGGCTTAAGGCTTCCAATAGTGAAGAAAATCCCGGCTAACTTACCTTATCGATGCTTTCAGCATATTACAAAAATTTAAACGACATTAAAAAAGAGTGTATTATAATTTCTAAATAATAAAATTTAATAAAAATAATC